TTCTTGTGCCTGCCTTAACTGCAGTCTTTCCCCAGAGTCAGAACAGACTCCCCACTTCCAAGTCCTCTAATTCCCTCCACAGCCTGAGATTCCGCAAAGGCGTAGAGCTGCTCCTAGCCCTACACATGGCCTACAGCAGACTAAAGCTTTATTATTCATATTTGGAGAAGTGCCGGTTTCCTCACCTTTATTCCCTGTAGGTTTCGAGCTTCTTGTTTGTATTTCAATATCTCCTTCTGTAAATGCAACAAAATTTCATTTAATGGCATCTTGACATCCCTTCAGAATCAAGCAAAGTCAGTATTCTCTGTCCCCAGGCACCTGCTTCAGAAGAAAGCACGTGCCACCTTTACCCATACACCAAAGAGCATGTCAGGCCCTGAGCCCTTTTAACAAATTACAAACATGACAAAACAGTTGAGCAGCTCCCTAAGTCCCTGCTATTAAAGCCATGAGAGAAAAAGATTTCCTAGACCCTCAAACTGTCCTTTAGGGCAACATCAACTAGTTCTCTCCCAGCACCAGAACTGGTGTCAGAAGAATACCAGCATCAGCAGAAAGCTGAACTATGTCAGGGTCCACAAGGCAGGTTCTTCTCAGGTGCATTTACTTCATACCTGAAAGCTTGTTTATATTCAGACATGGCTAGAACTTTAACAGCTGTCCTGAATACAGTTTTGAGAAGCTAGTACAACCTGGATCGCTCCAGCTTCAAGAACATGCAGGAAAAAAAGTCAATTTCAGGGTTCATTTACATTCCAGTAACACTTAAGTATATGTTTCACCAGCAACTGACTTTATCAGCATTGACTGGAGGCAAAGTGGGGAGGCAGCATGTGTTTTTCTGGCGCTATCCCACAAAATTTTATTAACTGTTAATAGAGATACTTCCCAGCCAAGTATTGTGAGTGCTATCTGGGTCAGTGAGTTATAGTCTCAGGGAAGCAGATACTTTATTCCTAGATGGATGGGGATCCCACATGGCAGAATATGGAAACAGAGTTGGAGCCCTAGCACAACATACCTGACATGTCATCTGTTGTGTTGTCCATTCCATCTCCCCCCAAAACAAACAAAAAATCATATAGAACAGAGTCTGTACAGATCTCTTGCCCCAAAACCACCCTTTCCCCTTCATCAGTCCTCCTCTAACCTTTAGGTCTTGATTTTCTTCCACACTCTGGTCCAGGCGACTTCGGATTATGATCTGATTGTAAAATACCATGGTTATTATTGTGCAAGACACCTGTGTGGCAGAACAGTGCCAAGGGCAGCAACGTGCTCACCAGCTGCTCTTCAGGGCAGGCTCCATGTTCGCAAAGTTCAAAGGATCCTTCCTGCTCATCCTCAGGTAAAGACCCATTGAGTAACAAAGCCTGGGAAGATGAAGGAAAAAAAGTAAATCTCCTCTTCAGAGGTTTCAAAGAAATCTAGGCTAGCTACAGCTCTGGCTAACAGTTATTTGTATCAACAGTCTCTAAACAGTTAAATTTTCCATTTTTGCCTCTCAAACGTGAGTACGATTTTTCAGGAATGACAAGAAGGTATATCCTCTGAAAAAGCTCTTCCAGAGGTATCTGTCAATCAATACTCTTCCCCCTAGAAAGACACCAAACAAGAACGACTACTCAGATTTTCAGGAAGTGAAGTCTGTCTCAGGCTTCAGTCAACACGTAGCCTTCGCTACAACAACAGATCCAAAGTCTAAAGCAGAGACTGAACTAAGTTTACGTTGTAAGGCTTCTCTTCTGGAATGAGACCGAAGTGTCCCCTGCTGAAGGAAGCCATTCTCCTAACCACAGATCTACAAAAGACTTTAGAAAAAAGGATATTCAGGGAAGTCTAACTCTGTTCTACACTAGACAAGACCAAGACCTATCCAGAACTGTTGTCCAAAGGAGGGAAAAGCCCTCACTTAGTGAAAATCTTAAGCTATGCCCTATGCCTGAGGAAGGCTACTAGAAGCACAGTATTAACTCTTTCAGTAGCTCCAAGGTAGTCCAAACATCCGCAAGATGATACCAGAATTCCCACAGTAGACTGAATTTAGCCTGAAGGAGGTAAAAGCATGCACTATAGGAAGTGTGACTAGCAGGACCAAGTCAGATCTCCAGCTGGATACACCATATGAGTTTTCTCTAGCTGAGGTTTTTAACATTTAACTTTGTCTCTAATTTCCAGGACTCAGGACATTTGATATGTGCCAGGATGTTGCACACAACTGGACACATTGGAAAGTCATGCATCTTTCTTTCAATTAGCTTTCTAGTTTATTTCTATTAACTTGAACTCCATGGCTAAAACTAAAATAGCCCATTTGCAGCAATTCTCCAGTTCAGCCCCAAAAGACTTCAAGGCTGACAGGTAAGTTCTGCCTGCCCACAGATTCTCCTCTCAAAGAGCTGCAACTACTGCCAAATAGCAAACAGCAATCTGTATTCAGTTAACGCAAAAGCTCTTCAGAAAAGTGTTTTCTGAGTGGATCCCCAAGTCTTCCCAGCAGGATATTCAAGCAAGAATGACATAGGAACATAAAAAGCTGCCATGGTTTTAGCACCTTATAGGGTATATATACATGAGGTCCCTGATGTTTCAGTCAAACTCTGATGAACTGGAGGCTCTGAAGTATTGAGGAAGAGGGGGAAAATGAATTAATCAAATCCAATTTCTTGGCTAGCAACACCAGCTGCCTCTTTCTAATCCCAGGGGACAAGGGGGCAAGCAATACCAGCTGCTCGCCCTCAGTCCTGAAGCATGGGGCCATGGCTGGAGGAACAGGACATGCCAGCCCGTCCACTGCTGCCTCTCCCTGCTCCCAGCGGGCACAAAATGCAACCAGATTTTACCAGTGAACAAGCCTTTCCCCTCCCTCCCCCCAGTCTTTTGTTCCCTGCCTGTTGTCCACAGGGAAAGTGTCTGCCCACCCACACTCCATCCTCCTCCTCCTGGCTGCCGAGGCTTCTCACACAATCTCTGCTTTGTTTACTGGCACATAAATATTTACAATTCAAAGCAAGTATGGTTCCAAGCACAAACAGAAAGGAATATTCCTGAGAGAGTTCAGGGTCTTTACCATATGGATCAGGGGCTCCACTCCCCATGCAGAGTCACACACGTCAGGGTGAGGGTCATTTGGTCAGAGAGGCACTAGAACAGGGCAGCAAGGAAAAGGTCTTGCAAATAAATAGTTGCATAGAGAATGTGCCAAATATTACAGTTCAGCCTATCTCACCGAAAGACTGATGCAAGCCTGCGTGACCCCTGATCAGCTCTGTGAATCTGGATGGACTTCCTGACCTTCCCTGTCTCTTTGCATTACTTCTGATCACAAATCACAGAAATACTGCTCTATTCTCTCAGGCTGCTAATAAAACTTGCAGGCTGCTAAATGCCCTGGTGAAGAAGGGGAGTCCCAGCCCCAGCACATGGGGAAACACTGCTGCATCTTTACCATTTTGCACAGTAACACACAGGCTTTGCACAGCGACAGCACTTACAGGAGTTACAGCATCACAGGACAGAGGACCAAGCCACTGAACTCAGCTAGGATCTGGGCTCCAACCAAAAGACAACTCAGGCATAATCACCTTCTAAACTTGGGCTTTGTTTTAGATTCTTTACAACAGTGGTTCCATTCTTACCTACATTCAGTGCACCCTTAGCACCCTTCACAGCCTACTTAAATTACTATTAGTGAATATCACTGATCTTCAGTCTTCACAGCAACATAATCTTTCTCTCTCCACAACCTTTTCTCTCCCTCCCTACTGAATACAAGCCTCGAATCATGTCAACACCAAGTTTTGGAGGAGCCTGAGCTAAGACAAAGAAAAGGTGGAGTATGAATTGCTCTGAACCCCTGGTAAATAAACTGCGGCTGGGGAAGTTGAGCCATCTTTCCTCCTTTTCTGTGCTTTCTTGGTTAAGCACACTATGCAACGACTGGGACCCTGTCGCAGGCAAGACTATGGCTGGATCCAGCTGTCTTCTAAATTGCACCTGGGACATTGGATAGGACAGTTTTGGCATTCTCCATCCTGTAAAGTTGAACAGCATTTGCAGGAGCCAAGAGAGCCTAAACACTGCAAGAAAAGGAGGATGTCAGAGTGCTTAGCCAGTAGCATTCTGCTACTGGATAATGCTCAGCTTGCTGCAGCCAGTATACCCCGATACACACCATCCACACTATCAGAAGTACTTTCTTGATCCTTACAAACACATCCCTGAAGGAACTCATCCCACAGGGTCAGATACAGGGAAGAGCTACTGTTTTTACGTAACCAAGGCAAGCCAAGAGACCAACTGACTTCTTGCACAATCACCCCAGGACCACACTGGACCAGGACTCTTAATCAGCTCTCCTGAGTTCCAAGCTAGTGTCTCATCTGCAAGATAACCCATCTTTTAGCTACAGCTGGTGGGAAAAGAAATGCATGTGGAAGGGAACGCTGTTTGAGAAGAAAATCTATTACCTGCAAACCTGAAATCATCTTCTTTGCTTCCTCCATTTCTTTTTCCAAATGGTCCTGTTGTTCCAAAAGCTGCTCCTCCCATGAATTCTCCAAATATGACTCAGGGTTCCCTGCTTGCCGCTCAGGCTGTAAATGAGATTCTGTCTCTTCTGAAAGAGAGAATATCCGAATGTGGTCATGACAGACAGCAGCCCAGAAAAGTCTTGCACCACATAGTAACTGCCTGCTGCCCACACCAGCTACTACTAACAAACAAACAGGTCTTCCAGCCAGTACTACAACTGCTCAATTCTTTGCAAAGTGCCTCAACCTATGCTGCAAACACAGACCTTTACACAAAGTCAAATTATGCATCAGGAGTTTGACAAGCTCACATGAACTCTTTCTTTAAGAGAAATTAAAATGTTGGGGTTTTTTTTTCAACGTGACCTAATGCTGTGATGAAAGCCCTACAGTGAAAGTTATATATGACCCTTCATTGTTTTCCAGAGCTTTTTATTTCCCAAGCACTAGTTTGCAAGACTCGCAGACATCATCATATTATGGCATTATTGTAGTGTTTAAAGCGTTGGGATTTAGTTTTATGTGAACAGATACTCGTCATCACATTCTCTACATTCATTTCAGCCACTGGGGAACTTTTCAGCAAGTTTATGATACAAACGAATCCCAACGAAAGTGTGAGCTGTGCAGCATTATCTGCAAGGTACCTGTTTTAGTTTCTGCTTCTTCAGTGCGGATGACCACAAGTCTTTCCTTCTCCTCTGATGGAGCTACAGTGGATTCACTCTTCACACTATGGATAGGACTGGGTGATGCAAGACTGCAGAGGAAAGGAGACACAGTTACTTCTAGTGCTGATTAACATCATCCTAAATACACAGGCAGGCTGACTGAAACCAAGAGCTACCTGCATACTAGAAGCCAGTAATAAAAACTGGACATGTACCTGTTCCATCATTCTACACCAGTGTCACAGCAGGCTAACTGATAAATAGCACGATACGTCTCTATTTTCCTTAACAGAACGCAAGTTTGAGACCACTACAGAATTCACATACACGTGCAGAGAGGTAAGACTGCTGAAGGTTCACTCAGAAACAATATCCTGCAAGCCTTACGTTCAGATGCGATCTGAACAGAATGACACGCTGGCTGGCTTCATCTCTTGCTCTGGCTTTCAGAAGCATCACTTAACTAACTTGGAATTCCAAGGGCAAAGTATTTTTGAAAGACAGATACTACTCACTCATTTTTTTAGGTTAAAACTTCTTGAAAGGACCCATATATTTTTCACTGCAGTCATGTCAGCTGAATGTGAGTTTTAAGCAATCTTTTCTTCAGAAATTCTTCCAAGATACATCACCTAGACAACACTATAAGGCAGTTGAAGCTCACTGACCCATTCAATGTACCTCTAAAGTCGCAGGAACTAATCCTTGCAAATGTAAGCAGGAGTTAATTTTTCATTCTCCTCAACACAGAAACAAAGGACAGAGAACAAAAAGAAAACAGTGTGGAGATAATATAATGGGTTTAGAAAAATAAGAGGCTTTGACAGCTTGCTTTCCCCATCTTCCCAGCAGTCCTGCAACATATTCCACAGCTCTCTCACAGGATCAGAAAAGCCTTGCAACAGAGATGGAAACTACTTGCTAGCAGCTCCTGTCAGGCCCACTCCCACTGCCAGGGCTGGCCTACTTCTCACTCATATTACAGAGCTTCAAGCAGTCTAGCTTTAATGGTCCAGACTAAATGCACTTTCACCATATTAAAGGAAAAGATGAATGCAACTTTCTAAGGGGAAGAATAACCATCCTTTAATGGGAATCTCTAACAGCTACAGGAGCTGTTCTTTCAAGGTGTGGCAGTTTGAGTCCACTCATCTGGCAACCAGAAACTACACAGTTGCTCGCTCACTCACTCCTGTCTCTTGCCCTTTTCAGGACAGGGATGAGAAAATTCAACAAAAGGGCTTGAAGACTGAGATTAAGGACAGGGAAGGCTTGCTTACTGCTTATGGGCATAGGCACAGAATAGATTTAGGGAGAAAACCATAAATCTAATACCACCACCAGTTCAACTAAATCAGTAAGATCCGAGTAGGATAGTGAGGGAAATAAATGTGACCAGATCTTAAACACCTTACCCCCACCCCTCCCTTCTTTTGCAGCTATCTCCTCTGCCCCAGCAGCACAGGGCAGCAGGGATTGGGGAGCTCCAGTCTGTCCATTACTCTTGGTCCATGACGCTCCTTCCTCCTTGGAGAAAGGACTCCTCACAGTCTTCCCCTGCTGCCACATGGTGTTCCTCTCACAGGAGACAGTCCTCCTCAAACGTCTCCATAGTGAGTCCTTCTCAGAAGTGTGGGTCCCTCCCATGGGCCACAGTCAAGCTGTTCCAGTGTGAGCTTTCCTTGGAGTCACTTGGTACACTTCAAACGCTCCCTTTGCTCCAGTGCGGTCCTCAGCTTGGGCACAGTCCTCTGCTCCTTTGAGGGTTCTTCCACGGGTCACAGACTGGTTCCTACGCCTCTGCTGCTCTTCTCAGTCTGCATCTCAGTTGTCATCTCACCACGGGTCCCAGGGACAGCTCTGCTGTGTCCTCCCCCTTCCTCAAAGAACTCAGTGGCCACACGGCTGCTCTGCTCACCTACCTCTTCTCTCCAAAACAAAACTCCTCAACAAAAAAGACCCATCAGGTCTCCCCTCTTGAGTACATTGATTTGCAGAGGCACTGATTGGCCTGGCCTTGGCCAGAAGTGGATCCAACTTTTCCCTGGGCTGGGGAAGGCTCTGGCAGTTTTGACTGGAGCCACCTCCACAGCCCTCTCTCTCCCCACCAAAACCCTGCCAGACATAACCCATCACCCCTGCTCAAACATGGTATGTATGATTGTTAAAGAGGTCGAGGCCACCCGACTCTGCTGAAGGCTTTACCTTCAGGAAGGCTGACTCCATTACAGCAGTCTCTAGGCACATTTTCTATACAACATTTGCAACAAGCATCCTGCTCCTGCTTGCTGCTGAATGGGCACACAGCATAAAATTAAAATAATTGTTTGGGAGCCAAGAGAATACTACTGGGTTTGCTTTATACAGTAAGGGTCAGAGGAAAGGATGAAACTTTCGAACAGCACAGAAACAAACAGTAAGCCCAGCTGCTCTAACACATCCAGTAACTCTAAGAGGAATTTTATTTCCTTCTAGGAACAGATCTCAGTGTTCTCCCTGCATATTTTTAGCTGATACTCTGAATGTGTCATCATCCTGGTGAGGCCACTGGGAAGTGTATTGCTGATTCTTATCCATGCAAAAGATGAAAGAACGAGAACTGTCCTAGAAAAACAACATTAGCAACTGTTGGGCGAGAAGGTGGTGAAACTGATGAACAGGCAAGAGCAGAGAACTGGAAAGATAAATGAGCAGGACAAAAACAAGGAGATATAGAGCCTGGAAATAACATTCTCCTCTTTCAAGGGCTGCTCCTTTCCTCTCAGCACTGGATCCACAGCCTGAAGCAAATACAAAGCATCCCAGCTGGCGCAGGGAGGTGGAGTTAAGTGGGCTACAGGTCTCCACAACAGTTTTACAGATAATTGCTTAGGCATTCCTATGTCCACAGTCCCCTTTCCAGACAGTTTCCCTATTTTAAAAAGCCAGTGGAGACACACTCAGATGAAGCAGTAGCACAGGTCAAGTTGTCTCATATGTTAGGCCCTGAAGTTAATGCTGAAACATAGGATTTTTGTATCAGTCACCAAACCTGTCAGAGCATGAAATACCCACTGACATAATTTGTTCTTTAAAGTAGACACCACTTCGTGATTAAAGCATGCAGAAATAAATGCTAGGAAATTAAAATTAATTAAGAGAGATTTACGATGCAAACAGTTCCACTTTTTTCCTCTTACCAGCAGATTTCTTAACCCACATCCTTTCTCCACCATGTCCCAGAGTTGCCAGTGCCTGCACAGTCAAGGTTTTAGGGCAAGAGCCCCAGTGACAAATGCTCATAATTTTAATAAACACCCCATCCCTGCTGTTTCAAATGACAACGGCAACAATCGCTCACCATTTGACCTGCTTCCCTCCCATGATCCCACTTTAACCTTTCGCCTCACAGAATCCGTTTCCACGGGAGCCTCAGGATTCTGGCTACAGACATGCCTTGTCCCTTCACATGCTCAGAATTCAGTGTAGAAGACGCCAGCTCCTGTCAAACTACTGGAGAAACATTTGCAAGCCAGATTGCTTCACATTAGCTGAAAGGTTCACAGCAGCCACAACAACAACAACAAACACCACCCTCAGGGTCTCTGCACAAAACCGTCGGATGGCAGACCAACCGCCCCCACACACGTATTTGATTCCAGAGTCAGGGAATTCTGCAGCCTGGGTTTTGCTTTTGCTGGTTTTCCTCTCGGGTTATTTGTCTCTTGCTGCTGCATCTTGCTCCGCTGCACGCCCAGTTGTTTTCATCACAAGGACCGCGATCGGGATTGCCGGCGGTGTTTCTCATCCCATTCCGCCCTCTTTAGACTCCGAGCAGCTGCTGCAGATGCCCAGGAGGAGCCAAGAGACGGTGCTGGTGCAAACAGTAGGTTCCTTGCTCTTCCAGGCGTGGATGCGGTCTCGGGAGATGGTAATGCAGCACTCCCCAGCCCTCCGCCCGGCTCCTCTCCCTCGCAGCCTCCAGCTCCCTCTGCCTCCCGCTGTCACACGGGCTGTGCACGGCAGAGCCTTGTCTCCGAGACGCCTGGCTCCGGGAGGGGGAGGGAAGGCTGGTGGAAGGGGAGGGGAAAGCGAGATGGTTGGGTGAGGGGCTCAGTGGCCTGGGAATGCATCTGATTTTGGCAAATTTTCCCCGAGTCATTTCAATTGCCTTTGCTTATTAGAGCTTTTGTCTCTGGGAATTCTGTTATTCAGGCTGTGAGCTCTCTTAGTGAAGAGTTAATGCAGAAATGAGCTGATGCTAGGCAGGGGATGCTGCCCTGGGACAGACACGACAGCAGCACAATTAGATGGAGGGGGTGGCTGCAGTTAATAACTATATCTCTACTAATAAAAGAAGTGGCTTGTTTCTCCCTCTCAGTACTCATAACTAAGCTAGTACATTTCCCTCTGAAGGAAAAAGAAACAAGCATCTTGTTTTGAACCATGAAGCCTGGTATCAGCATTCTTTGGGTAGATCCCTGATCACTTCTGTAAAATCCTCCATACTACGTCTTATCAGCAATATCTCTATTACCATATGGTAAGAGAACTCATGACATTACAAGGAAAAAACCAACCAAACAAAAAGCAAACAACAAAAAGCATAACACAAAGATTTAGGATGTACAGAGAAATTTTCACTCACCACCAAAATACAGCCACATATGAGCAAACAGCAGTTGCTTGACAATCCGTTAGAGCATACAAGAGCACACATAAATACTACAGCTACCTTAAATTGAAGAATGAGTGGAAAGAGTAGCATGTGTCATGAGATCACGATTCAGGAGTCAACACCAAAGTCCTGTGATATTAGCCATGAAATCCTGTTGCCAAGACCAGAATTTTTGGATCTGCCCTGGAACGACAGCTTCAAAACTACACTCTCTACTGACATCATGCAGAGGCAGTGTTCCAATACTGTCTCACATGGAGTTCCCACACTCTTGTATTTGGAAGAGTATTATAAACTATGAATTATAAATCTGTATTTATAAAAAAATCCCTCACAATTATACACAACAAATTTGGAGAATAAATACAGACTACTCCAGTGTTTTCTCCTCCTCTGTTGAGTTCAAGCAACCTAAATTCTCTGATACATGGAGGTCTCTTTGTACTATGGAGCATCAAAAGCAGCTTGGGAAATCCTGTGGAGATACTCTGCCTGCTGAGAAACTGTCAGTGGCAATCTGTCCTAGGCAAATGAATCTCCTCACTCCTGTACATATTGGGGGGCCGAAGGGAAGCAGGACAAGTAGACAACAAAGCAGTTGGGGCTTACACTGGGGACAGGAAACCGTGAAGCAAAGAGAGCTGCAGCTATGCCCATGCAGCTCTGTCCTCTTAGATTAAATGGAGCAAAGCATCACATCCAGAAGGAGATCTAGCATGTTCAGTTACACAGTCCTTTTGTCTTCAAGCTAGTTGCTCATTCCCTGGGAGAAATGGGAAAAGCTGTCCTTTATTATGAAGCTATCAATGCTGGACCAGCTCTCCCACTGTAGTACAGTTTTTCTTCACAAGCCCCTTCAGCTACACTGCCTCTCCTGCAATCATGAAAACAAACACCACAGCCATGTGTCTTCCCTCGCCACTGCTCAAGTAAATTGGGGCAAGAGTTTTTACTTCTGCCCCAAAGCAAAGAGTAGTAAGAAGAGCTTGTAAAGCATCAGTGTAATGTGTTGCAACTGGAAAACACTGCTCAGGTTCACAGCTGCAAGCTTCATGTTGGTTCCTGAGGCTTCATTCTCCAGCTCAGGCAGGAGACTATATGCTCGGAATCCTCTTCTCTATCAGAACTAACCAGATCACAGTCATTAGAAAGGGCACTTTAAGGAATGTCAGACAAAGGACCACAAAGGGACACATCTTGGCAATAAAGTCCCTTACCTGGAAGAGTGGGACCCCAATGGCATGTTCTGCTGCCCTTCATACTGCTGCACCAGTGCCCGGACGCTCCAATAGGGGTTTTCAATCTCCTCATCCATGCTGCTATTTCTGGAGATAATTATCATAGAGTGAGGGAAGTCTCACCTGACAGGAGCAGAAATTCTTCTTGTCTCCAAGAAGGAGGGTAGAAAAGCTAATGAAAGGAAGGTAAGAAGGAGGGGACAGCTAGAAAACTGCCAGAATTAAGAAAATTCTCCTATCAGGGAGCTCCATCCCATCCTCTTGGTGTGAGGATAACACAGGCAAACAGGCCCTCCCCTTTTAAACTCATCCCTAATTCTGTGACTGTAAAACTACAAAAGCTCTAGAAAGGCCAGGAAAATAATAGAATTTGCAAATAGCACAAGGAGCAGCTTTTTTGAAGGTCTCCTGGCCCAAGGCCTTTGCAAGAGAAATCTCTAACTTTTCAACAAAAATGTACCATTTCAACCTCATTTCCAAACTTCTTCAGGAGTGCTCCCTTGAACCAATGTAATATGAGCTGTGTAAATTCAACCCTCAGCAGACCACCATCTGGCTTCCATTTAGATGTCATTAATATTATTGTTATAATGCACAAAGCACCTTTTGCAAGTGTTAAGTGTGCTTTTCAGAATTACACATTCCTTCTGTACATCGGTCATCTCCCTTGATTTTCACCAGAACTCCTCTTCATTTTCTGGAGAAAATGCTGCAGAGTTCCCTCTGGCTTGGCCGTCAAGAACTGTTCTTTTCCAATGAGATAATAGAGATCCAACAGTTATTTTGCTGTAAAACCTGAAAAGAAGCTGGGATACGTGCAGTCGTCATCACGAGGCTGCCAGGCTGGGTCAGTACTCCCCTTTTCCAGGCCATTTTCTATTTAGATTTCAGTGAGACAGCAGCGGTTTGCCTCTATTTGCTTGCACAATAGGAGAGCTACCTTACACTAGCGATTGTCAGAATAAAGAGGCATCTATTTTTAAATAAATTCTGTTCATCTGGAAACATCCCCTGACCTCACATAATCAGGGAAAACTTATTACCTCTGTCGGTGCCGGAACACATCTCGGCCGGATTGCAAGACATCTTGACGAACATCGGCCAGAGCAGCCACAGCCCCTTGGGCCACTGCGGCCGCTGAGCGAGGCCTGTAACTGGCAGACGACGCAGACAAGCTCTTCCCCACCGTGCCAGCAGAGCCATGATTCATCGGTCTCCCAGAGCCTGGTTTGAAATGAGCAGCTAAGGCCAGGATCAACCTCATGATAGATTTCAAGTTCCCATCAACAATATCTGCAAAACGTAAATAAAGCCAGGGACAACGCCATTAACACAAAGTCCCACCAGAGCTGTATCTGACCAACAAGGACAAAAATAATTAAACACAATGGGGCCATGCCAATAAAAGAGGACTATGGAAGAAGGACTGCATGGTAGCACTGATGGTTAGCTCTGCTTGTTTTGTACAAGCCTAAATGCTTTGAAAGACCGGAGCCTTCCCTCTGTGGCCATTTCCAGCCAGCAATCCAGCAGGCCAGGCAACAGCAGGTGATAATTCTGGTGAATGCTCACCAGAAGAGTACAGCAGTTACTGAAGACTACAACTGTCCTAGCAGTCACTTCAATTAGCATATGGAATCTGCATTTTTTTTAAACACTAAAAACCAGAGAACAGCAATGTATTTCTTCAGCAATAGCATCCTGTACCATAAACCATAGCACCTTTTAAGTGTTAATCAGTCAGTTTTAATAATATCACACTAGACATTTCCCCGGCATACAAACTAGCTCAAACACCTTGATCTCAAATTCACGATTATCCATTCTTTCAAAGTAGGATTTCTCAGAACAATTTAGTCAACTGAGATAGTCAAAGTCCATTAAAATAATAGGAATAGGGTGTCCGAATATCAAAGGTAGCCTAAAAAAAAAAATAAATCGTAAGTGCTAGAGGCATGAAGGCTGGTTATTATTTCCTTTAGTATTCAAAACATTAGAAGTGCCCAAAAATAAGTCACAGTGACCATTATCTCCCCATAACTCACAGAGAACACAAAGCTAAAAGTTTGTGTGAATCATTTGAAGTCCTAGGATGTCAGAACTATGACTGGAGCTCTGGAGCTTGTGTCATACAGCCTCGTGCCTGTATTCTATCCTATGACCACATGGCATCATTTCATTGCATATCCAGCTTGATATCTTTGCTTATGCAACACTTTTACCAATATTTCTACCATTTCTACAGTCATGAGCTAGTAAGACAGCTGGCAACATGACAGAAAAAACCAGTACAGCCTCCAGTCTGCCGGTAGCAGTACTGTGGGAACAGTACCAATTACTCTATATTTAAACGCTAAGCCTCTCCCTAAGGGCTATAAACCAACAGCTTGCACTCTCCTGCTACCAACAAGGGTCATGCCCTCTGCGTAGGCCGTCTCAGCATTCTTCCCCTTCTCACCTGAAGGGCCATGGACAATCAGAACTGCATCCCTTCCCAGTACAGCCAGCAAACAGTAAGGAAAGGGGCCTATCGTTCAACCCAAAACCCATTACTAAACCACAGGAGGAAAACCAGCAAAACTGCCCCCTACAAACAAATACATTATCTGCTTGGTATGAAACGATGACTGCCAGGGACACATACCTTTTGCTGATGTCTGATGCATGCGGATCTTTTTTGATGCCACAAACTGTAGGACCTTCTCCACATTTTCCTTCATCTCCTGCTGGCTGATAGGGTTGACCTGAATGCCATCCAACTTCTCACCAGCTAAAGGAGTGAAAAAACTTTATTAGAGAAGAACTGAACCACTTGGTGCTGTCACAGGGATTGCTATACTTGTATGGCTTGATTTTATCTCCTTTCTAGGTACTGCAGGAGGCTTATAAATTTTATGCTGCTTATAAAGTATTCAGTACCAGGAATAATGAGGTTGGAGACTATATTGGGTTTATACGGAAAGGCTTTGGTAGCTGGGGGGGCTACAAGGGTGGTTTCTGTGAGAACAAGTGGATGTGCCCTGAAGGAGGCTGTGGACACCCCACACCTAAGCAGGTTTGCTTGCAGGACCTGTGACCCCACTGGGGACTCATGCCGGAGCAATTTGTTCCTGAAGGGCTGCACCGTGTGGAAGAGACCCACACTGGAGCAGTTCATGAAGAACTGCAGGCCGTGGGAAGGACCCATGTTGGAGAAGTTCATGTGGACTGTCTCCTGTGCATAGGACCCCACGCTGGAGCAAAGGAAGAGTGTGAGGAGGAAGGAAGTGCGAGGTATAGAGACAATGCATAACAAACTGATCCCCTGTCCCCACCCCCCAGTGCTGCTCAGGGGGAGAAGGCAGACAGCTCTGGAGTGAAGTTGAACCCAGGAAGAAGAGAGTATCTCAGCAACCAAGTCACTCTTCCAAAAATGCCACACACTAATGCCAATCTTCTACATGGTAAATTCTTTCATAACTCCATTCCAGCTTTGTGAAAGTTAATATGGTCCCTGATAGGTTTCAGCACATCCGTTGCAACCGTTTGCTAAAACGTAAGGACATCAATAGAATTGCATTATAACTTCCTTTATGACTGTTTTCTGATAAAGTTATTCCTTCTCCCCATCCCCCACAAGCTCTGACACCAGCATTAACATCTGCTAGTACGCCTGACAGGTGTCAGAGCCAAGACTAGCCTCTTCTACACGAAATCTAAAACTGCACGATGAAAAATAGTGCCATATGGTATTACTGACCTACAATCTCAATAAGCAAAGCAAGAATGACTCCGTCTTGGAGATCTCGTCTCAGGTCTTGGACTGGCTTTATTGCTGGCTTCTTCTTCAGCTGGGAATTCACCCAGGCCACATATGCCTGTAGTTGTTGCTGAAAACAGAAAACAAAACATTAGCGTGTCGCTGCCATTTCAGAAGTTGCACAGCTCTCACTTTTCTCTTTCATCTTCACAGATCTCTTTGGTTTTTACCCTTTAAACCAAAGACCAATGGTCTCATCCCAAAGCCTGCTGAGCACTAACTGACATCATTGCACACTGTGGTGTAGCTCACTCCACGCCAGGCCAGAAAGAGCAAGCAGGCAGCAGGACAGAACTCATGAGCTAAGCATAGCGGAGAAGAAAGCTTTACATTACATTTAATCTAGGTCGGTGCCAAACATGTCATTCCCTCATTTTTGGTGGCAGAATCGAGTCACTCGCATCATTTAGTGCCCCACTCACATTATTTTCTTCCACATATAAAAAAAATTAGAAAACCCACATTGCAGAAACAAGAAACCCTGTGTAATTTCCCATTAAACTATGTCACCTACCAAAAGAAACAACTGAAACAGATGTCCTGGAAGAGACAAGAGTTGCCCTTCTTAACACTCCCAGCATGGCTCATTTGTAACAGTTCATGCAACAGGCAAGAGACACCCTGTTCTGTAGACTCCCTTCCTCCATTTCCTTGGAGCTACATGGCTCAATTTCTGTCTTTGTACATGTGGAAGTGTGCTTGCCCCAGCACTGAACAGCTGCAAGCCCTGAGAGCAAGGAGCACTGCCCTTCCAGCAGGCCATACTGCATGCTGCTTCATAGAGCTGTGCGTGTTTCTACAAGGGGAAGACGAGGGAAATGGAAATTTGGGCTTTTAGTCAGTGGGAGGACCCATCTGGCATGAAGTGAATGAAAGGCAAAGCAAGATTCACAGGACCTTTCCTTTTCCATCCCCCTTCTTAGTAGCACTTCCATGGCCAGTAGGAGCACTGGTAATACTGAAATCCCTCCGGGCAGGGCTGGTGTGGTTCATGAGGGAGGGTAAACAAACCTATCCATTTATGGGATTACCTCCCTTTTCACTAAGCTTCCCATTATTCTGCCAGTGCAGCAGGTTTTAAGTCTCCATTCCATATTATCTCAGCAATGTCAGTCAGAGTTTATGCTTTTACAGCTCAACAAAGTCTGATCACAGTTTCACTCTTAATTAGCCTGACATAGGAAATCCAACTTTAATCACACCATGGTTCGGTCTGCTGGTTCAGAAAGGTAAGTGGACCTGGATTCAATCAGTTCCACTCACTCAGCAGAGAGCTGGAGAGCAGAAAAGAGATGAGCTTGGGGTACAGCCTGATGGCTTCTGAGAAAAAAGGAAGCAGAAGATGCAGATCTGATGCATGGCTTGCTGGAGCACACTTAGCCCATCATGTGGATTTGATCTAAATGCTCTTCTTTGGCTGTAAAGGCAAAGATGTGCGCCAGTTTTGCCTGCCCAGTTTCATTTTCCACTTAATGCAACTGGGCACTGGGGCTGATCAGCAAGCCTTGACTTCATCGTGCACAAGCTGATGATCCTGCGCTGATTTTCAGAACAGCAATGGCAATTTGCCAGTTGCAAACTACCTTTTCAACTGTATTTTAACAGATCATGCGGGCACTGAGGTCCAATGTCACAGCAGTGTAATGCCAGAGCGACCACAAGCCTTCTATTACACAGATTCAATGCAGCTTTAATTTATTTAAGCAAGTACCTGAGAAAAGAGTCAGGTTTGCTTATAATAATACAGCATCATCATAGAAATATCCAGATTCATAAATAAAGTTGTACTGAACAGCGTTCCAGCATGAAAACTGCATCTGAAATCCATGTAATCTAGGGAAAAAGCCTTCTCACAGAAGTGTTTAGTAGCTTGCTGATATTTTTCAAATAATTTTGCAAAGTTCTAAACTGTTACATTGTACTAATTCCACAAGGGCACAGCCCCTCACAGCCTAGAGAAAATTTGAAGTTTTTATAGGAGTGTATATGGTTCTTCCATTCAGACACTTCTGCTTTCATTCAAAGGAAATATAGAACCATTCACCATGCAGTTTGTTTTCTATTTCTGTTCTCTGAATATTCTTCATGCATAAGAAAGCATTTTTGGCAAACTTCCAGACTCTTTCAAAAGCATTAGCAGGTTGACACTATTATTAGAAGAAAAAAAAAAAAGTGCACTGGGATTTAGGAGTGACATTTTAAACAATTATTATTAAAAGGAGGATTTTGAGGCAATGGAATATGAATCGCACCATTACAAAGTAATTTCATACCACTAGCTGCTGTGTTTGGGTTTTTTTGCTTTTTTCCCCCCACTAAAGCATAAGACTTTCCAGCAGAAGTTCAGAGAGATGGACTGATCAGCATTTCCTGATTTTGGATCTAAAACCTAGATCACTTACTTTAGCAAGAGACTTGGATTGCTGCAACGGTAAAAACTCGGGGAGTAAACTGTCACTTCTGGGAGCTAACGTGAACAGGCTAGAGGGCAAGTGAACAGGCAACAAGGGCAAGTGTAGAGTTTTGCACCTGGGTAAGAATAACCCCGTGTGCCAGTACAGGCTGGGGACTGACCCAGACTAAAAAAAAAACGGATGCAGAGTGAGCCTTTGTGCCCAAGAGACTGGACATGGTAGTCCCCCAAACCCAATTGGGTCTCCTGCTGTGACAGCTGCTCAAATTTTAACACTCCTCTTGTTCAATTTTTGTCTTTCTAGTTGAAGGAAAAAATCCTGTGGGACCTGTTACACCAACTCCTGTGATGCTGTAACTGTGCTACCACAGCTTCCTGCAGAACCTCTGACCGTTACGGGATTGAAGGAATCCTTAAGAGCTCCCCCTTGGTGGTTTATAACCTGATATGGCTGACAGTTAATCCAAGAGTGATCAGGGAGGGAACAGCAATTGTTCTATCTAGCTCACCCTCTTCCTTCATAAAAATCAAATAACCAGCCAAATAATTCTTCCTTCAAGCACTGACCTCTAGCAGTTTTCTGCTTCTCTGTGCATTTTGGTTTGAGCTTCTGTTCAGCCAAACCTTAGACTCAACGGTGCTTACGCTGCTCTACCGCTGTACCAGTTTTCCTTTCAAAACCAGCATTTTCAGAAGAAAACCATATTAGTCTAGTCTCAGAGTTACTATGCAGAGCACACGTTACTAGGATTATGGTGGAGTTAAGCTTAATCCTATTTATGTTAACACAGCTTTATGTTCCAAAAAAAGGCCAGGTTTACCTGTACTTTGCAGTGGGAAGAACAGATTCCTTACCTGAAAGAAATTTGAGCCCAGACTGATTCAGCTCCTAGGCAGATCACTGTAGGGTGTTTATATCCAAGTCACTCTGGAAGCCTTAAAAGATTTAGCAGGGCAGGAGAAGATTTTTTATACAAGGTACTCAGGGCCACCTGTAGCTGTAAGGAATTTCCCAACTTGCAGGCCCTTCTGCTGGCAAATTACAGCTTAGCACTTCAGTAAGCATAGTGCATCTCAGAGCAGGATTTTACTTTTCATCACTTGTTCAGCCATAGCCTAAAGAAGTGCCTCGGACCTGCTGGCTCTAGAAAAACAGCTGTGAAGGTCAGGAGCACATATCTTTGTGCCCTCAGCTAACAGCCAATGATACGCAGGAGGAAAATGACCTTTCAGGGTCAACACATTTTTCTAGCAGTTGTAACCCCTTAGTGATAATTACAATTAAGTGTCATTATCTAGTATTTTCTACAGGTGAAAGAAAAGCAGCAGCTCAATTGCAAATCTCCTGCCAGTTGTAGGTGCCCTTGCTATTCTCACTTAACCAGCGCAATTCCCCAGCTGCTGCTTAGGGCTCATGTTTCTCCCCTCTCAACCATCAATCAGTCCAGTCTGCCTGACAATAACCACAGGTAGATCTCAATGTGTCGATACACCACTCTGTCCTTTATTATCTGTGCCATTTACATCACACTGTATAAGGTTAATTTTCACCTCCTCTGAGATAAGGCTATTCTGAAGTTGGCCAAATCTTCGTTCATAGACAAAATCCTTCTTTAGCAGACATGCCTTCAGAGGGCCTGACCTCCTTGCTATCACCTTACAGTAGACTCCCATGACACTCTGCTTCTAGTACAGGAGTACTTTTCTGTGTTCATTTGATGAATTTGACTCTCTCCTTATTGTTAGATTTAGGGAATCGGTTCGAAAGGATAGTGTTTCTCATATTATTTACTCTGCTTTTCCTTTATACCCTATAGACGCTGCCCAAGCACCAGCTCTAACAAGGTCATAGCCCTCATGCTCTGAGATTGGTCCCAGTATAAAAGGCATTTAGTGTCCTGTTTGTTCAGAGCACTGAACTAAATGTCTGCACCAGCAAAGCTCGAAGGGTAGCCTAACTGCATCAGGATGTAGTGATTAAAGCCATTTGAAGCCAGGTCGCTGCTTTAGGGATAACTGTTTGTGCTTTTGAAAGATGTTTTAGTGCCTCTGCATTTTCCCCAGTCTGGTATTTTGAGGCCCTTTTCTCACACAGGCAGTGTTTCTGTGCAGGAACACAGGCAAAAAGCTGACCCACAAGAGATCTTTTGCTCTAAACTACTTTGGAGCACATGATTCACCCTGAATCATCAAATGGTTCCACTACACCCGCACCAAGTCTAAGGTCTGTCAAAACAAGTTGCACTGAGACACACCCTGATGCTTCAGCAAAGAAAAAGAGCGTTGTTCATTATTTAGCCGAATGCAGTCGCTACCCCTGCACCAACAGGGCAAAGAAGCTTTGTGAAGAGACTGAGTACAGAGTATGACTGAACAGTGCTTTTGGCAGGCAAGAGGAAGCAAAGGGGAGGGGACATCCACTGAGATTGCCTGGCCCAGGATGAGGGGCACTAAAGGTACATCTAGGACACAGGCCAATGACTTGCTGTGATTTTGGCAGCCCACCTTATCTCTGTGTGCCTAAGTTTCTACCTATAAAGAAACTGTAATAATTTTTATGTTCCTTCTAAAATGCTTTGATAACAAGAAATCTTTGACTATAACTGCACACATGTGTTGCCTGATCTAGGTGAGAGGCATCCCTGCCCATGACAGGGAGGTTGGATTAAATGATCTCTAAGATCCCTTCCATCCCCGGCCATTCTATGACTGCACTGTAATACCTGCTATGCAACAAAGTAATAGCCTGCCTTCGACATACAGTGAACCTCAGGCAGGAATTGAATCCTAACTGCCCAACCCCTAATCCTATATAGCAGCGAATTCATCCTTCCTTTGCTGATAGTCCTATTGCTGGCCAGGCACAAGAGCTCTGGGAAAAATTTCTACGAAATCCTGCTCGAACAAGCAGTTGTCTGCTGAAGTACATCCAGGTGTGGGATGCCCCAGTGATGTTTCCTGATGTCTGTACTTGAGGATTAGCGTAATTATAATGCAGCAGCTGCCCAGTCTCCTGCAGACCAGACAGACAACCTGGCAAGGTCTATGTGGTTCCTTAGATCTCAGCCTTTGTCCTCTGGCCAAGCTTTAAAAAAGTGTGTCTGATCATCCCATGGCTTTAACAGTGTGGAGCAGATGTAAAATACTAACAGACTTACGCTAAAACAAAGCTGATGTGAAATGAGACTTGGCTCTACCATGTGGAAAACAGCAGCATCTCTGAATTTCACGAATTCAGCGAAACCCAGGCTCTGAGGGATTTGGTACTGCAGGGAGCATTTAGTTATGGGCTGGTCCTAATAGGCTGAACGGCACGACGGAGCCAGAAGTCAAAACAGCTCTCTTCCTAGTGAATCCTATTAGCTATAAATAGCACTCACTGCAAGGAGAGGGTGAGTGCAAGTTTCTTCTGCTAAGATTGCAGTAACAAAGACATTTTTACCACAGATCACGCATGTTACATCAAGGGGAACAGAACAGCTGCCAGAACAGGGCAAGTCTATACTTGCATAAAATCACTTCAGCCAGAAAAGCAAATCAAAATCAAACCCAAGTCATTTCCCACAACAAGGATTCAGATCTCACAGATAGGAGGCCACCTGATCACCTCAAGCCCACCAAGAGGCACAGCAAACCTTGAAGAAGGAGGGAGAGAGACTGTATGTGTGGGCAATCCAGGAAATACCTGCTGCAGATGCCGTTCAGCTAAGAACCCACTGCTGGAGGGAAAATACTACAAGAAACACTTGGTGAGGAGGCAGGCAACGAGCACCCTACTAAGAAGGGAACACAGAGACACACCTGCACTGCACCACTTCCCGCATGCATACTGCCGAGGAGTAGCAGTTCTCACAGAGCAGAATGCATAGGTATTTCCCCATGCTGACAGAGCCTTATGGGGCATCTTTGCATTTCACTTTGCTGCTGTTGGGGTACTCTGCAAAACAACCTCTGCTTGGGCTCTTAAAAATTCAATGCCATTTCACTCTCTGGACAGGAGCCAATCCCAGGCCTGTTTTTCAGCGTAATCTCAGAGGGAAAAAACAACTGTTTTAAATAACTCGTTGCAAACACGCAGCTACATAATTAAGATTGCCAGAGGAAATGATCTTCCAATTTGAAAAAGAGAAGGTATGTTATTGTTCAAAACAAGACACCTGTATTTTATATCTTGGAGCTGTCAGGCCTATTTCTGACACAGTTCTGTGTGTTCCCCATCTGTTTTAAAAATCTGTGAGTACAGATCTCAAATAAACTGCATTTCCTCAAGGAGAGAGAACAAGCTGAGGCCACATGAAGAGTCATCACAGAAGAGAACCTGTCCTCTATGGTTTCCTTGCATTAAACGACTGCTTTTAGCAGTCATACATTCCCATGCCACCACCCAGCTGTGGGATTGAATTATTTAGCTGCCTCAGCAGGGTGAGTCTCAATAAACAGCAGGGAAACAGCTTCAAGGCAGAACAGTTCATTAATGAGAGAGGGACAGGAGCTGTGTGATGTCACCAGGAGAGTTCACTCCCTTTCAACATTAAACAAAAGTCATCCTGCTTTAGATGTCTGCAGGTGACACTGTGCACAACATATTTTGGCCAGGGAGTCTGAAAGGGAAGGGAAATACACTGGAATGAATAGGTGATCTGTGAAGCAGAACAGGCATTAGCTGCAGAAGGGACAAGAACGCATTTGCCATCCGTGCTCGTGAGATAATGAGGCTGGAGGGGTGGCTCTCAGCCAGCAGGATGGACAGAGGAGGGAAAGTAATGCAAAGGAACAACAGAAACTTGCCTGTAAAATCTTGGCTGCCTTGAGTAACTCTCCAGACATGGGTTATTGACTGAAGGTTCAACATAGAGACACACAATCAATACCCCTTGAGAAACTGGAACTACACCTGGCTCTAGGTCCCAAGCCTGTGTAATATTGAATTTGAGCTCTGCACATACACCTAGGAGCGTGCTAGCTTACCTACTTGTGTACATTAACGAACAGATTTGGAAAGTATGTCCTTGTATTTCAAGGTATCTAGTCACTAGAAGAGCCACCTGGCCAGAAAATATGCTCTACCAAAAGAACAGACAATGAATCAGCAAAGCAGTTCCTGCACTACCCCAAGTCACTCTTTGTGTTAAATTAAGCCTAACTTTTTGTCTCGAATCTGTTTTTATACTCAGGCTTAGTAGCCACTCGCTTCCAGTCGTCTAACATCAGAGTGCTGTGACACTTTGGGACATTCTTTCACATTCAGGGACGTCTATAAATGAGCACCTAAGGTACAAAGAGCTTTTGCCAGAGAAGGATCTGCTGCTCTCAAGCACAAGAAATGCCGGCTTCAGCTAAAGCAATATCTTTGCCAGCTAAAAAGGAGACCGAGATACTCTGTGGAGGAGGGTATGGAGTACTCAGAGCAATCGTAGGAAACCTGTGGCTCATAGGAAGCTACGAGGCTCCAGTTTCAAAGCCCGTTTGTTTTCCCCATTGTGACCGGTGCTGTTAAGAGCAGGAGGGATGTTTGTTTTTCTGTGAACAATAGAGTACGGGGGCAGAACACTCAGGTAGGGGCTGAGTTTTGCAACTATGAGGAAGCACTACACATAAACAAACACAAGCTATGCGCTCTAAGAAAGAATAAAACACAGCAAAACGCTATCCCTGCGACCACATGGGAAAGCAAAGAGCAGCCACTGTTTGGTTTCAGCAAAAGCCCCCACAATTTTCCTTCCTTTTCATTTACAGACAGGAAATCTTACTGCAGCACGGTCTGCACAACGCACAGCCAGGCAATGACTGCCCTGGCATTTTGTACTGAGTCGTCAGGGTCCAACGGAACTCATTTTTTATGCACCCTAAGAAGGAAGTCACCAGCAATCCATGCTCCACATGAAGTTACAGGATTCCCATCTCTGGAATTTCTTGGTACTTCTTGCTCCTTATTTCATGATTTATTAGTCTCCCAAACAGCAGAATAAGCGAATAAAGAACACTTTAAAAATTATATTTTCCTGACCAAGATGAGTTTCACCCCCCCAGTGATTCAATCTACAGAAGAAGATGGGAAAAAACAACCATCCTGCTCTTTGTCAGCCTCTCCCAAGAAATCTGCGTCCGCAAAGCAGATTTACAGTCTTTCCAAAAGCCTTCAGACATAAAGAATTCATATACTCAGGAGAGAAGCCAATTCTATAAAATAAACTGTGCTCCATAACCTTGCTGCAGTTTATATTATTTACTTGTACAACAGTAAAGTGCAGCAAAGAGAATAAAAACTCCAAGCTATAAACACCACCTATAAAGCAGCCACAAACTCTTCAAAACACTATTGCTGATTTGCAGAGCCCTGCCTGAGCTGCCCAGTACGTCCCTTCATTAGTAAGCAGCTCTCCCGCCCTGAAATCTCGCTCATTTTTCTCCCTCTCTGCTCCTCAAAGCACTCCAAACACCAGGAGAAAAACAGCTCCTGAGAGATGCTGCACAAAAGCAGGCTGCACTGCTTGGAAAGGTCTGTGGGAGACTTCAGATATGTATTTACCTCCGTGAAGCCCTCCTGAAGAATATCCAGCAAATTCCCTCTGGCCAAGCAAGCCAGCATTCTCCACGAGCCCACCGACAGGCGAGGGTCTCAGAAGACACAGGGCAGATCGTCCAGCTCTGCGCACGACCCCTTCCTCCTCCTCCTCCCAAAGACAAAGAGTTGGAGCTCATCAGGAACCGCATTCATAGTTCCATATGGGCAGCCCGTTACTGGACACAGACAGTTGAGCCAAAGTCAAGGCTTGCACTGGGCATGCTCGAGAGGGAGCTGCTGGGGGAGTAGCGGGAGAGATGTCAGCCCGTTCCTATAGAAACGCATCAGCTTACAAGATGCAGGCCCAGGACTGAGTTGGGGAAACATCTGAAACTCATTTCCAGCCGCCGTACTCACGCAAAACTTGCTGCATAAAAGAGACTTTCAAACCCACCAAACACAGCAAGCCCTGTATGGTATGGGGGTAGGGAGAGAATCAAGGAACAGCAAATAGCAGATGCCTTGCTTAGCTAGAAAAGCGAAAGGAAATATTGAGAGCCACCAGCTTTATCTCTCAGCAATGGTTCTGCAGCCCTGAAGAAGCAGTAACATTGTCAGCAACGTGGTAGAGACAGGAAGCTGCAAACCACACCACGACACAGCTAGTAACCTTTGCACCATACTTGGCCCTTCTCTAGCTGCCCTGGCAATAAAGTTCAAAGAAGAAAAAAGACAGAAAACTTTCAAACTAGAATTAAATACAATCCCCAGCAAATTTTCTAAATCAATAATAACTGCATTCATTCCAGAAAAAAAGCATCAAACATGTCCAAGCAATCTCTCAGACTTCATCTCACCTTAGAGGAAAAGCCCAAGGAAAGAAAAAAAAAAGGTAAAACCTCTCAGAACGGATGAAGACTTCTGCCAGCAGCTCTGGCTGCTAGTACAGAGAAAAAGACTGCAAATACTGGCCACTGATATCAGACTATGCCTTCAGATTTCAAAATATCTTATCAAGCATTTCTAAGTAAGAGGCACAGTTAAAAACAAACATGTTTTGCTGCTTAAGTATTGAAGCATCTGGAGGAAGAAGCAGAACTGCCTCACTTTGACAATATGAATGCCAGAGAATAGAAACTAGGCCATTTCTGATGGCCAGTCTGAGAGGCAGAGCATGCTGAGCCATTCTTCTGTTTATCGTGGTAACACAAATGCATCCTGCGTGTATGTGCGTGCTGAAAACACCTTTTAAAAATTAAACAGTTGTTCTCCCTTCTATGTGTTCCACTCTTAACTGTCAAGATTCTTGTAGCAGGAATCATTTTTCTGTCATAACATAAAATATTATGCCTTTAAATGTTACCTTTGCAAGAAGCAAACAAAACAGCTTCATAAAACTAATGCTTCATAACTGTCCCTGAAGATGATTCTAAACCGGACAGCACAGGATAATGATACCAAAAGGATGTCCCCATCAACTGTTCCTTGCCTGAGTCACCTTCAACACACATGGGATTGCAGTTTGGTTGGTGGCAATTGCCCTCTCCTGGCCAGTTCCAGCATAACCCTAATCCTTGCACTTGGCCATGCTGAATTCCGGGCGAGGCGGATGCCAAAGCCCTGCTACTGCTCCATGTCCTGTCGTGATGCGACTGTCCTGTCACAGCTGCACCCCCACTACAAGACATAAGCCTTCCTTCAAGACTTCCATACAAGGATTTTAAGGCTCTTTATTAACACTCTCTATTTCTCTTATCAGCTCATAAGGAGAGAAAGATCAATGGCCACAGTTCAGCTCTTACTACTAAAATTTTGAGTGGGGAAATAAAGCAAGTGGGCCTGATTCAGAAATAAAGGCTAAGAGGCTTGTGAGGCCACGACTGCAGTAATAGTGAAAGCTGCCTAAAGCAACTAATGCCTTTGTGTCCCCTCCCAACCTTCCCATCAAGCATCCAAAACAGAAGTCAGACACAAAAACAGCTCAAGGAAACTCACGGAGGATGCAGCAGGCTGTGATGTAGGTTGGGGCGCGGTGTCCATCCGAGTTCCCATGCTGGATGCCACAGCTCAGCTCAGTCCCTAGAGGTGTTTCTTGATCAGTGCATTAAGCCCAGACAGCAAAGATTCATAAGCAATTTTAGGAAACAATTCCAGATACTGGCATGATAGTTAATAATTCTCTGGTGCTGTGTTTTCTTTGCTTAGTCTTCCTTTAGAAGTCTGGAGTGAAGTCCAGTGGAAGGAAAGATGAGGGAGTTTGGAAGCATTAAGAAGAATGCGTAACAGTAAGATTCCTTGAGGAATCGCTGTTTCAAATAATCATTTCAAGGTGGGCAGCAGTGTAACCCCTAGGCAGACGGTCACTAGTGTCCGGGCTGTGCCACGCTGGTACAGCTCTAGGGACCGAAGGTCAGGGTAGGGCCAGATGGGGAACAGAGGCAGAGCCGAGGGGGGCTG